GACCAAAATGGGGGTTTAACCTATAAATATCTATAAATACTGTAGGATTACACAAAGAAACTCCAATGCCAATATCAAACGCACCCTGAATGAAGAATGAAATCCGATTGACGTGGTTACATCTGAACAACTGTTCGTAAAAGAAAGATAATTTTTTAATATAATTTTTTACATATTTTTTATATATTATTAAATAATTAAATATATCTAATATTAAAAATTTGGTTAAATGCTAAATTTGGTCCCTCAACTTTAGTGAGTTGCATATTTTTGGTCCCTTAACAATTTTTTGCACTTTTTTGATTCCTTAACTATACGAAATGCACTCCGTTAGTCCTTCTGTTAATTTCGATTGTTAACTCGCTCACGTGTCAATTTTTATTATTTTTTTGATGACGTGGCAAAAACAAATTAAAAACATGTTTACGTGGATTTTTTTCAATGCCAACTCATATTATTATTATTATTTATATTTTAAAAAAATAAATAATTAAATTTAAACGTATCAAATTGAAAAGGTTAAATGCTAAATTTGATTCCTCAACTTTAGTGAGTTGCACATTTTTGGTCCCTTAACAATTTTTTGCACTTTTTGATTCCTTAACTATACAAAATGCACTCTGTTAGTCCTTCTGTTAATTTCGATCATTAACTCGCTCACGTGTCAATTATTATTATTTTTTTTGATGACGTGGCAAAAACAAATTAAAAACATGTTTACGTGATTTTTTTTCAATGCCAACTCATATTATTATTATTATTTATATTTTAAAAAAATAAATTAATATAATCAGTTCATCGGTTCATCTTCTTCCTCTCTCTTTTTCTTTTTTTTTTTCTTCCTCTTCTTTGTTCCTCTTCTTTCTTCCTCGGGTCATTGAACCCTTTGCTGGGTTCGGTGGAACCCAGAACCCAGAACCCAGCTCCACTTTTTTTTTTTTTTTGGTTTATATGATTGTTTGCTGTGAGGGATTTTTGGGTAGTTTTTGTTATATGATTGCTTGCCAAGAGATTTCCAAATTACAGGTTGTTGCGAGAGCTTTTTGGACAATTGAGTTCAATGAATCGAACTGGGTTCTGTCGAACTTCAATTTTGAAAATGGAAAAAAATGAATCGAGCTGGGGTTCTGTCAAACTTCAATCTTGAAAATGGAAAGAATACCCTGTCGAACTTCAATCTTGAAAATGGAAAGAATACCCTGTCAAATTTCAATCTTCAAAATGGAAAGAACACCCTGTCGTACTTCAATCTTGAAAATGGAAAAAACACCGAAAAGAATAGAAACAGTAACCGATGGCCAAAGGAGCAATTGTTAGTGGTGATGTGAGACCCATATAAATGGATTTGGTGCATTTTTGTCGGGTAGCATGTGACATGGCAAAAATTTTATACATGTCATCATTTTTTTAAGTTTTGCTCTCCACATCATCAAAAAAAATATACTTTTTTAAGTTTTGCTTTCCACATCATCAAAAAAAATATAAAAAATGCCAC